ATTCATAATTAACATAAAATTCCAAGTCGTTTTAATGATGTCTGTCTGTTGAAATCAAAATGCAGCCCATATTATATAACGTAGAGCTTTAAAATTTAACATAATAGTTTCTTTTTCCGGTGGCAGAACACTGCCTATATAAGCCCACGTTTTACAATAGCCCCCATATACGGGTACCTTCGGATATTCGTTTTTTTTTTTGACAATTTCAGCAATATTTTTCTAACGGATTTGTCTAAAATCCGGAATTTGTACTTCATACATCGTATTAAGAGTTTGTAACACAACTTCAGCATAAAGGTCTATATTATTAGCATTTGACTAAAGCTTTCATTTCAACTAACTAGACACATTAATAGGAATAGTTTAACAGTTCGCTAGTATGAAATGGTGAAACTCAGTTTTAACGATCGTACAACATTTTTGCATATTCCCATATTCCTTTTGTGGGGTATAAAATCGTACGCACACGCAACAACTTTGGTAAGTGCCTAAGTAATAAAATGTGTCTAAAGTCCTTTCAGTAAATATGAAGGATCTAAATTTACTCTTTACCAAAATGAGAATTCATATTGAAATTTAATTGCAAACAGATATTTTATACAATTACTAGCTGGCCCGGTCCGCGTTGACGGCTTTTGTACTGTACTTTTAGTCTTTAATGCGTATTTTTTAAAGCATAATAAATCACAGATCTGACTTATATAAGCGGCACAATTTTCATTATAAGTAATGACTCCAGTATAATGAATCCAATTTTGATTATAAGTAATGACTCCATGACTAAATAGAAATTAGTTTTTGTGTTAAATACCTTTATGATAAAGAAAATCTATAATAGCCCAATGTGAAAATTCAGCACAATTTTTATTATTGTAAAAAACTTAACATTTTCATTCAAATGATCTATAATTTCGAATTTGTATTTCCAACGTTTAAAATTCCATACTGCGTGGTATTTAGTTTTGTCCACCTCATACTTGAAGGCAGAATGTTATCAGAATAGCCAAAAAATTACTCTTTTGCTCCGATTACCGTAAGATGGGCATAAATTTTTTGTCATCTAAATTGTGCGGTGAAGATCCAATAAAGTCCACATTTTTCATCGTAGTGTAATTCAATGACGATTAAAGAAATGTTCGGTCTCGTGTTACTTTCTAATTTCGTATTTTTTCATGTTTCTGCCACAATTTCCGACTGAAGGAGTCCCAGATTGACATTCCATATAGACGTACATCCCAAATCTACGTTCCAAACCAATATTCTCTTGGGGGTTACAAATTCAATAGAATACCAAATTTTCTTTTCTGACCACACATTGGTTGGGAATGTGGACTTGGAGGTATACTAATGTGGGGACTATACTTAAATAAATGCCTATGTGGATAATTATCTGTAAGATGGTTTTCAACCCCAGGGGTTTTTACCCCATGTAGCCTCAAGTCTAAGATGGACCCTTTTCCGAAAAATGAGAAGAGGGCCAAATAAGGCCCAAAAAATGGAAAAAGTGGCAAAGACCCCGAAAATACCTTAAATCATATCATGGTGATACTAAAACGTCATCATTTCTTGCAGGGATCGTTTTTTTTAATTATCGACATAAGGCAAAATTAGTACGAAAAATATGGTTAAAATGTAGAATATACTTGAAATCGGGTTATTCCGTTATCGGGGGTTATGATCCATATCATAACCTGCCAAAGCGATTAAAGGTATCTTGAATGTTTAGGAAAAATTTCTGGAAGGAATTCGCTCTACTATCTTGCGTCCTTTATAGTCAGTATTTTACGGATTGCAGTCTCAATGTATTTTGCATTTTGAGTTCTCATTGGACGAATTATTGTCATATGAAAGAAGCAGGTCCACTTTTTGCAGTGAACCCCATAACGCTTTTTCGGTCATTTTGGTTTGTATGAATGTGTTGAAAAATTTTCGATTTTTCCCGATTTTAGAATTTTCATATCTTATTCTTTTCTGAAATGATATTATTCGTATTACAAAATAAATACATATAAGCTATAAATAACAGTTTTATCCGTTGTCGCGATATACTACCCAAAAAAACTACACATCATATTAGAAATCCAAAAAAAAAAAAAAAAAAAAAAAAAAAAAAAAACTACAAATGTACATTCGAAAATAGTAAGTCAAAATGGGAAAAAAAATCATGCAAAATAAAACATGACTATTGTACATTTTAAAAGTCAAAATAAAATTAAAATGTTCAAAATTTCACATTTTTATGCGATTTTTTGGATTTTATCCTTTTCTGCCAAGAGGCAATTCCGAATTTATCTGAATCGTTAAAATCTGACCGGCGGTCTTTATGTTATAAGCGTAGTAACTAACACAACTTTCTTTTACATATAGAGAGACAGATTTAAAAGTAGGCGTGTTCCTCAGCCCCTAAATAAATACTTACGGTTGGATGGGAAGCCAACAGTATCTCATGTAATAATTCTCAATCCGCTATCTTAATAATTTGGCAAATATAAGGATTTTAGATAAATCGAAATAGTGGGCGTAAAAGTAGGCATGGTCAATATTTTTTTCTTTAAAAACCTAACTCGGGGCATGACGAATGTTTGTACAAAAAATTAATCAAATCGGTCCACCCGTTCTTAACTGATTCCATTACCAACAAACAACAATTGATTTTTATATATATAGAAGAAGATACTTATTTTAAATGTGGAAAAATAATTACACAGAAAAGCACCGTAATCAAATCTCAACATATTTTAGTTTGGAAAGGAGGAATGCGTGCAAATGGAAGTATTCTGGTAATAATACATACACGCAACCTGGCAATTAGACAACTTAAATTCATCAACGTCTATTGATGTAGGCTCGTGGAAGAATACTGCACTTTCCCACAGCAGGGGAAGTAAGCAGCAACTGCTTCACGGCATCCTGGTCAACATGTAAAACTCCTTATTTTCCTCACGAAGACCGAAGTGAACATAACCCCATATTTGTAAAAATGAGTTTGCTGGGTTAGGAACTATGGTGGTAATGCAAAAACCCAAGGAAAGGCTTAATCTTATTTTATCCAAGTTCTTCACACAGGATCCCATGGAAAGCGTACTAGGTATTGACATAGAGTTGATGCAAGGAGCTCTTGTTAAATTACTAATGTTGACATGTATTAAAACGCTAGGCGTCAATCTATCTAAAACAAAGCTTGTACTTTTTACAAAGACACTATAAGATCCACAGTGTTTACTACTAACCCCGATATCAAACCTGATTCCAAATTGGAGGAGACTACGATATTGCGGGCACTCCGAATGATTGTTGTGCTACCACCCAATGCTTTCCAATTGAAGAATTTAGTCAAAAGAAAAACAAAGAAACCAAGATCGGAACTCCTCTGATGTACGGGTTTGTTTTCTAAAAATTTTAGCGGTACCGTTGTATGATACCGAAACTTTTAAAAGTGTCCGTTCAGAAAGTGCCGTTTATGCGAACTGAGAACCCGAAATGTGAAATTACTACTTATTGTTGTTGCTTTTAGCTTCAACAGAGAAACAAAAACATAAGAGATATGTAAAAATGAGAGACTAGCTCGCGCTAGCTTTAAAAGTCTCGTTTTTGTTCGCAAAAAAAAAGTAAAAACATACCAAAGTATAATTAGTAATAATGATTGATTACAAAAAAAAAAAAAAAAAAAAAAAAAAAAAAAAAAAAAAAACAAGTTAAAAAGCAGTAAGTTCGGCCGGGCCGAACTTTTAATACCCTCCACCATTTGCAACGAATTTGGAAATTTTCAAAAAATAAAATCCTTAAAAGATTCTGTTAAAATTTTAAAAATACCGAATATAGCCGTTATATTGGGGTCTATACGACATGGACATACATATGCATTGTTTGTCATAAGCCATTACCATATTCAAATTCGAAACTGGACCCGCACCGACAATTTTCTGTCACAGACTGTAGTTCCCATAACGAACTTCAAATACCAAATTTTAAACAGTTCCGGTTAATAATGTCGCTAAAATCATCAAAATACCGTTATATGGGGGGCTATACGAAGACGTGGACCTGCACAGACAATTTTCAGTCTTAGGGTGTAGTATCCATTTGGAACTTCAAATACCAAATTTGAAACAATTCCGGTGAATAACGTCGCTAAAATCATCAAAATACCGAATATAGGGAGGAACCGTTATATTGGGGCTATACGAAGACGTGGACCTGCAAAGACAATTTTCTGTCTTAGGGTGTAGTATCCATTTGGAACTTCAAATACCAGATTTGAAACAATTCCCGTGAATAATGTCGCTAAAATCATCAAAATACCGAATATCGGGAGGTACCGTTATATGGGGGCTATACGAAGACATAGACTTGCACAGACAATTTTCTATCTTAGGGTGTAGTATCCATTTGGAACTTCAATTACCAAATTTGAAACAATTCCGGTGAATAACGTCGCTAAAATCATCAAAATACCGAATATAGGGGGGTTACCGTTATATGGTAGCTATATGAAAACGTGGACCTACATGGCCCATTTACGAACTTAACCTGCCTACTGGAAAAATAAACATGTGTGCAAAATTTTAGCCATCTATCTCAATTCATTCGAAAAATAGCGTGACAGACAGACGGACAGACAGACAGACAGACAGACGGACATCGCTAAATCGACTTAGAATTTTACGCTAATCAAGAATATATATACTTTGTTGGGTCTGACATGAGTATTTCGAGGAGTTACAAACGGAATGACAAAGTTAATATACCCTCCATAGTATGGTGGAGGGTATAAAAAAAAAAACAAATAAATATTCATCTATATTATAAAATTAGGTAGACACATACATGACAGTCTTTGAACAACATTGCAAAAAAAATCTCAACAGAGACAGCAATTACAAATTTTAGCAATGAACTCTTAAAAAATACACATCATGACCAAATACATATGAATTTATGTAGGTATATATATATGTTTTCCAAAAAAGAGTAGATTCAAAAAATATAAAACTTACCATGCAAATTAATTGTACATGTTGTGTTGTTGCCACGATCCAGAACTACAACACTTGTAGCTGCCGCCCCACCTCCTCCTCCTGTAGTGGCCATATTACCGGAGGTGGTGGATTTACAACGACGTCCACGCGGCAAAGTGATGGATTTATTAAACGTTTGCGAATGAAACCAATAGTGTGCGGAGCTAGTATAAAACCGGCGACCGCACTTTTTGTAACACAAATTTCACCAAATTATACCCTTGCTTTAGTGTTTGTTCTGAAGCCAGATATTTTCTCTACAACTGTTCGTTTCCAAAATGAATTGAATGTTTGTCTTCTATTTACTTTTCAAAATGTTGGTGGGTTAACAGAAGGCGCGACAAGTTCACCTTGAAAGAGCTAAGTTGTTTTCAATAATCCGCTAGACAGGCACTTGCGTTGTCTTCTGTTATCAATATACGCGGCTGTAGACAATACAAACTCATGATCATTTATGTTCATTTAAGTGCAATAAAATCAGCTAGTAAAAATATTAACTTAATTCAATGTAAGTACAGCAACTCATATTTTTCAATTCCTAAATCATGGGTTAATACTGCATTATTAGTATGAAAGCGTTCAACGGGTAGATTAATAATTATGTATAAGTGTAATTCTTTATTTGAATTTCGATTTAAATTTGAAAAAAAATGTCTTCCTCCGGGAATAATTTCGATTTAAGTTTGGAATAAAATGTCTTCATCCGGGAATCAATTTCTTTAAGGTTGGGTCAGACTCACCATAATTATTTTACGATCAAGTGCGTATTCTTTAATTAAAAACAATTTTTCCTTCTCGATTTTGTTTTTTTTTATTGAAATTTAAAAGTAAAATATTTTACTAATTAGCTTTAGATTCCATGAAATTGTAAAAAAATATTTATGTAAGAAACAATTAATAAAATTTATTAAAAGGTCTTTCCTTTTCAAAAAATAACATTATTGCTTAAAGCTATTGTGCGCAAAATGGTAGGATAACCTTAGTTGTAGGTCCAATATGAGTGCAAGATTTGGAACAATTTGCAACCAATTTAATAATATTTTTTTTTTCCTTAAGTCTTTACAAAAAAAGATTACACACTTTTCATTAATCATCGTCATATCCCTAAATTAGTAAATGAACTTAAGTGGGCATGGATTATCCCGTAGAGGTAAAAGCATGACTAAGTTAGAGGCATCAAACCTGATTTTATAATGTATCTTCATTATAGTTATTTATTTTTATTATTGATATGACCAGAATATTTTGGGATCATTTTATTCTTCGTTGTTAAATGAAATATAGGATTTACGAAAAGGTTTGGGAGTTTAATTATTTGGCAGATCGAAGACCGGTTATGCGAATGAAATTCAATTTGTCTAAAAAATACATTTGTTTTCTATTATTTCTTTTCAGGGGAATATAAAGCTGCAAATATATCCAGGTAATTATTTTTAGCTTAGTCAGAATATGGAAGCTACATTTGTCTCGTCCGCGAGAGTGTTAGATTTCAGACCAATTCAAGTCGTAAGCTCAATTTTTTGATAATTTTGGGAGGAAGGTTCTAAAATGTCCACGTTTCCGTAGACCTATACGAACTACGAATACCACTTTTTAAAGATATTCGTGGTAAAATGTTGCTAAAGCCATCAAAATACCGCATATCGTAAGGTACCCTTACATTGAAGCTATAGTAAAAGTAATGACATATGGATGCAGCCGGGAAGTTCATAGAAATACACCCTTTGAAGGAATAGATGTATTTTTAGTGAAATCCTCCTTAAATTTCATACAAAACTAATGTTTTTTGAAGAAAAATAATCTAGTTACTGAGTGTTTTGTCGAAAATAGTAGCATAGAACACTGAATCAAATCAAACTATCATGCTCCTAGAAGCATTGCCACTTTGAACCGAAAAGGTCTCCTTTAAATTTTCTAAGGTATAGAAGGTATATAACTTTCGGTTACCAACACAGGTCAGTAAACGATGAAACGCTCTTTGCTTTTGCAAACATTTATTATTTATAACTATAGTATAAGTTAATTTTAAGTACAAGCAAAAAACTGTTAAGAACTCATTTTTATGATTCCTTTATTGGAGAAATACTAAATAAAGATATAAAACTAGTATTACAGATATATCTGTATACCTGATACATCATATGTATGTATAATCGATATATACTAAAGGAATATGCTAAATAATATTAAGACCTATTGTTAAACGTAAGTTATTGAAATATTGTTTACGGATTTTGGAATCAATAAAATTTGAAGCAATTTTGGGGTATACGACAAATATGTAGAGATTTTGGAAACGGAATGACAAACTCAAAAACGCGAATGAAAACTTCAAAATGAAACGACAGAAATTGGCAAAATTGTATGTTTATGATGGAAGTGGGAATTCATATATTTTTTTTACAAATGGGGTTTCGATATTTATCAAATTTATTTTATTATTTTGAATTTATTGTTGTTTTTGTTGTAGCAGTTCATACATCTGTGTTCGTTCAATTTCCATTTCCTGACTCCACTCAATCTGGTTCTGCCTTCAGTCTCAAAAAGGATGCAACCTGTATGGGTTGAGTCCATAACGAGACTGGAGTTAGGTGAGTGGAGTTGTTGTAACTACCAGCATCACAATTTCTAGTGATGTGATATCACAAAATTCCAGAAACCAATGGTTATGGAAATACTATCATATCGAAATAAGAGGAAAAATTTAGTTTAGGTCCAGCTGGCGAAAAAATTCGCAATTTTACTTAATGTAGACAACAACATATTTTTCAATGGGATATCCACACTTCCCGAGATTTGGGATAAAGTTACGAAATAAAATCGTTTAAATATTACAACGGGCAGTTATTTTTATCCTGATTACAACACATTATTTCCGGGGGTATGTCCAATACCGGCTACTTTAAGTAGGCGGCCTTCGGCCGTGGCTTAAAATTTTCTCCTCAGGGAGAAATCATACGCGAATCAATTTTTATTTAAATTTAAACATTTTCAGTAGTGGACCTTCGGCTAGGTCTTGGAATTTACTCCCATTGGATATTTCCTGCACTACCTATGGTAGCATTTTGAATATTGTATTTTATTTATTTTCAATTTGTACAGAAACCTAGCCAGCAGGGCCATGGACGGTTGCAAAAACTTCTATACATGACTACTCTAAATTAATTATAATATCCTTAATCCTAAAAGACTTACTTAAAATTAAACATTAAAACAAATTAACAAAAAGTGAACAAAATTAACATGACTACTCTAAACTATTCATTACATCCCTAATCTTAAAAATCTTATTAAAAAATTAACATTAAAAAAATACCAAAAAAAAAAAATGAGCAAAAATCACAATTTATTGAAGAAATAGATAAATCAACTATGCAAGGAAAAATAAACAAATTAACACAAGAAAACCATATATTTTAAACAATATTGAAATGAGCACATAATTTACGCTTATAACATGTTAGGGAAGAATTAAATGTCTTAACATTAGGTGGCAGATTGTTGAAAATGTGATGATTTTTCCAACAGAGGAGTCAAGCGTGGTATAACAATTTGCAGGTTCTTTACAGATCTCGAAAACTTAAAAAGATCCAAAAGAGTAGATGTCCTAAATTTAAAATGTTTGTAGAAGAACAACATAATCGCTTTAGAAATGACAAACTAAAAAGAAGGTACTTGAGCAAATTTGGAACCCTATATCTCTGGAAGTATAAATATAGATCTAAAAATGTAATTTCTTGTAATCAGGCCTACTTGTAGTAATGTTTTGAAGTTTTCATTTCGATTATTGGATTATAAATAGCTATGTAAAAAAGTTATTTTTGTAACTCTATATCTCGGGAAATTTGGATTTCCTCCTCCGAAACCTATTTCCGGAAAAACTTTCTGGTAAATATTTTTCAGCCAGCTGGGTGAAATTCAAATTAAGCCAAGAAAAAAGACTGGGATTAAACACTAACATGTGATATTTAGACCTCTCTTCCCACATTTGTTTCAAAAATAGTGTATAGATATTTAAATAATTATTCATATTCAAACTTCGTCATATCGAAATCTATTGTGCTCTTGCCTTTTAATAAAGCACAATTAGAACACTAATATCAATGGGTGTTCTAATTGTGCATAAAGGTATCATTTGTAATTTTTTGGTATTGACTTGATTTTCCAAAATGAAATTAGCGACGCAAATATGGAATCTCAAAGTTATATGGGTTTGCTTCAAAATTCATAGCGCCCATTCAATTTTATAACTACGTCCAAAGCATTCTTCGCCAACACCCCCGATGAACTTCTTATTGTTCATTTCAACACTGGATTGCAAGTAACTGCAAATTATCAATCCACCAAATAATACGAAATATAACAAATTCTGAAACTTGAAGGAATAACGCACTGTCAGTATAAATTGGCCATTAAATAATGTCTAAATAATTTTGCTGATTAGTTTATTTCACTCTATTCCATTCCCTGTTCATTGCAAAATATTTTTATCAATAGCAACTTTTTGGTATATCTAAATACTTTGCACTTTTTGTAATATTGTCGTTCTTTTTTAAGTTCATTCGCGTTTTTTCTAATGTATTTACCACACATTTAGAAAAAACAACTGCGTTGTGTTGGTTTTTTTTGTTTTGGTTCGTTTTTTCTCAATGGGAAAGTTCAAAACAAAAAAATGCCCGTGTAAAAAAGAGCGGCGCACTCAAAACAACTACGCGCAACAATACATGCGACAATAGAACCAGCCGTAAGAAATTTTCCAATTGAACTGACTAAACAACAATGAAGTAGGGATATGGAATTCGAATCTATGCCAACCCATGATACAATAATTCAGGTAGAGGCATTAATATAGTTGGTTGTACAATGAACTCTCAAAAAATAACAAAATGAATGAAAAATTATTCAAATTTTATAAATTTATTGAAAATCACATATCATAACAATCTTCGCATGGCGTTGATTAAAAAAAACATAAATTTCTAAAGAATTTTTTTAAAATACTTGGCATGCCAAGTGTTGATGTATCTAAAGCTAAAGCCGACGATTGGGGTTTTACATGTATTGTCAATTTCTTATATATGCACACATCATATGATTTATGGACGACATTTCAGCTGTGACATACATTAGTACAGTACATATGTACTTTTTCGATCGCAGCGAAAAATATAATTAAATCAAGAAACATATAATTAAATCAAGAGTGCTGCTGACATGATAGAAGAATGCAGGTAGATGCATTAACACTATATTATTATATGTTTTCTTATACGCGCCAATCGGAGTTTGATATAACATACATTTTCCAACAATCTTTATAAATTTCAATAATGTTTTATTCAACATTTTTAATTCCAAAATTTGTTTGTCAGTTCATTGTCCCAGCAGCCATATCGATGCGACTAACTATATTCTTCTACCACGACTGTTATCTTGCCAAAACTAAGAAGGTAAAGTCACGTAATCATATGTTTACAATTTTTTCGAATTAATACATTTGACAACATCTCATTGTCAAAATATATATTCATCAATCCATTTTGTACACACAAAATCCGAGATGGTAACTGTTTTCTATGCATTGAAATTTGACAAGGTAAATTAAAGAAAATGCAGAGCTGGGAAAGCTAATTTGAAATGAGGTTACTTTTATTTCATTGTACCATGGTTGTTATATTATTGTGTGAAAAATAAAGAAAGTCATCCATAAAGCATTATACAAGGTGCATAATAAGGAGTATGCACCAGCTACAACAACAACATTTTACAATAACATTATTGTTATTATAGAAACTAAAAAGGCATGTTGACTATCATAGTAAAATTAAGACGATAAAGTCATTTTAAATAAGCATTCCCATCTCCGCATTATTTGTAATTTACTTTGTCAAATTTATCTCCTTAGAAAACTGGTTCCCATCTCTGATTTGTGTATGTGCAATGGATTTATAACTGAACATTTTGACAATGAGATGTTGTCAAATGAATAATTTTGAAAAAATTGTAAACATATGATTTTATGACTTTACCTACTTGATTCTACCATGGTTGACAATTAGTATTGATTCAAATAACATAAAAACACAAATAACAAAACAAACATTCCAGACAACCATTTGGAGAAAATACTAAATGTTAGAACAACACTTCTTAGTTCAACCGCATTAAAAATGTCTACATAATATGGACCATGGTAGAAGAATACAGGTAGAAGCATCAACGATTAGGAACAGTGAAATGTGAAAATTTTTTAAATGTTTCTTCAAAAATAAGTAGGTCAATATAAGCTTTCCTAAACGATGTCAAAGGGATTTTGTGAAGATATCCATTTTTTTAAATTTTTACAAATTTGAATAATTTTTCATTCAAAAATTTCAATTTTAAAATTGGTTTCACAGTTCATTGTCCCAGCAGATGGGAACTGTTTTCTATGCATTGAAATTTGACAAGGTAAATTAAAGAAAATGCAGAGCTGGGAAAGCTAAGCATTCCCATCACCGCATTATTATTATTTTTATACCCTACACCACAAGGTGGTCAGGGTATTATGTCTTTGTGCATTTGTTTGTAACAGGCAGAAGGAAACGAGATAGACCCATAGTTCCTTTTGATGATCTGCATAGAATCACATTCTGAGTCGATTTATGCATGTCCGTCCGTCCGTCTGTCCATGTATTTTTGTAAATACAGGTCGCATTTATTGTCCGATCCAGTACAGGTCGCATTTATTGTCCGATCCAGATGAAATTTTGCAAAGATCTTTTGTTTGGCCCAAGGACGAACCCTATTGAAATTGGAGATAATCGGTCAAAATTTAGATATAGCTCCCATATATATCTTCGTCCGATTTGCCTTTTATTGTGCACCAAACGTGTAATATCAGCCCGATTTGTATGGAATTTTGCATATATACCCAAATTAGGCCTGAAAATATGTATGCCAAATTTGATCGAAATCGGTTCAGATATAGCTATAGCTCCCATATATATTGTTCATCGGATTTGTTATATTTGTTACCCACAACCGTAATAACATCGATAACAACGATATTCAGGGAAATATATCAAATAAAGCTCAGAAATATCTTTGCCAAATTTTATCGAGATCGGTTCAGATTTGGATATAGCTCCCACATATCTTTATCCGATTTCAAATTAACTGTGCACCAAATGGGTAATACAATTCCGAATTTAAAAGATACAAATGCTTCGGCATATTTAGTCCATTGAACTTTAAATTATAATTATAATCATAGCGTGTATGATTGAATTCTCCCATAAAAACTTTTAATTGTTATGTGGAGCTCTACTTAATTAGCAAAGTGGTGTAGGGTATCATAAAGTCGGCCCCGCCCGACTTTTTTTTTTTTGGAATCGGTTATTGATTACGCCGTCACGACGAGGTTTGTACGATACCCGTAGTATGCATGTACCATTGCTGTGTAGTCGATTCTTAGTTATCGATAATTATTTTGAGTTCCTTGTTGTTTTCCATTTCTTTTTATTCTTGTAGTGTTGTGATGTGAGTGATGTGATTCCGGGTTATAGCTGTATGTGGTTTTTATGAATGAAGTTGCACAATTCACGAAAGTTTTCACAGGCAAAACTTTGGAGTACTGCAGGTAAGTTTGAAAATTTTGTAAAGAAATTGTAATTCATTCTGTCATTATTGTATTTAGGGCAGATAAAAATCTGGTGGTTTTCCGTATTTGGCGTGTTGCATATTTCGCATAGGTTGGAGTTTTCAGCATTGATGAGGTACAGGTAAGTTTTTCCATATGTATGACCAGTGAGAAGTCTGTTTATAACCTTAATTTCTCCAGGTGACCTGTTGAATCCTGAAAACCAATGGCGGTTTGGTGGCTCTGGGAAGAATTGTGAGAAGTAAGTGCCTTTACTGATTGAAATATGTTTATAATTCTCCTTCCATTCACTCCATAGATGTTGGTGGATTAGGGAGCGAGCATCTTTTATCGAGAGGCCTGTTTGTATGATTGAACCGATTTCAGCTGCATGTTTGGCGAAAAAGTCTGCACGTTCATTAGCAGCAATGCCTATATGCGAGGGAATCCGAGGACTTGAGTTGTTTACCTTTTGTAGAATATTGTTGGCCAGGTAGTTTTGGGTATCATTTTGTTTTAAAATTAGACATGCATTTTTACTATCGGTAAGAATGGTGGCTTTTCTGATGTTGTCTTCTATCATTATGTCTATTGCCTTATTGATGGCGTGTAATTCTCCCATAAGTGATGACATTTTTGCCGGTATTTTGAATAAGAAGTTTTGATTATTTGAGATATTGCATACTGCACAACCAGTCGTAGTACTGGAAATCGAGGCATCGGTTGCCCATATCGTGTGTCCTGTGTTTTGAAGTCGTTCAGTTTTTTCTTGCAATATTACTCTATAAAATTCATTGGGTTGTGTATTTTTTGTAGAGTTAAATAAATTTAAGAAGAAAGTGAATTTACTGCTGGGATATTCTCTCTGATTTAATATAGTTTCGTTGAAAATGTGTTTAAATTTCATGTAGATTAAACCCAAACTGGTCTTGTTGGTAGGGTTGTTTGCAATATTTTGGTATAACTGTCGGTTGTGACACTTAAATTTTATTAATTCCTTTGCGGTAAGATACTGAGATCGTTGTTCTGGTGGGAACATCTCAGCTAGTGCGTAGATTGCATGTACAGGTGTTGACTGTGTTAGACCAAGACTTCTTCTTAACATCTGATTTTGAAAAGTTGTAAGCTTTTTGTTCAAATACGTTGGCATATGAGCCATTGAAGAAATACAATACTCTGTTTCCGAGAAGACTAGTGATTTGGCTAGATTTATTGATATATATGGAAGTAAACCATGTTTTAAATTGTTGATCATTTTTATTGCATTCAATGAAGAATTGCTTGAGTGAAAAACTTCCTCATAATGCTCTTTCAGGGATAAGCTGTTTTTAATGTGTCTTCCTAAAAACTTTATGCTGCTGACAGGTATAATTTGGGTACCTTGTAAGGCGATGGATGGTATTTTTCGTGGACCTTCAGCTATATACATAGCGGACGTTTTATTAGTGTTGTAGGTGAGGTTCAGGCGGGATAATAGAAATTGAAGTTCGATGGCTTTTTGTTGCAAATTTTGATTAGGCAATTCGAAATCCTTATGAGCTGATAGTAATATAAAATCATCTGCAAATTGAAACAAATGCGTGTTTTCATCGGATATCCCATGTAGACCAAGGGTATATATATTAAAAAGAAGGGGACTTAGACAACTGCCTTGTGGTAGCCCGTTGTAGATTTCAATTGATTCAATTCCCATTACAATGGTTCTTTTGCTTAGAAAATTTATGATCCAATCAGCGATATCTGTCGGACAGTTAATTTCACATAGTATTTTGAGAAGCATTTCTATTCTGACACAATCATATGCTTTTTCAACGTCTAGAGATAGAATTATAACTTTCTCACCTTTGCTTTTGTAGTAGTTTATGGTGTACAGTAAATTGTTGATACACATTGAAGTTGACAGATGTTTCCTATATGCAAAAGTATTTGTTGGCAAAATATTTTCTTCATCAATGAATTGCTGCAAACGCTCTTTTACCATAAAGTTTATTATTTTAAACGGGACAGATATTAGAGCAATGTGTCTAAAATTTGTGAACAATTCTAAATCTTTGCCCTTTTTCGGTATTTAGACAATTTTTATTTTCCTCCATTCATCTCTGATTTCACATTTCTTCCAAGATTAGTTTAATGCTTCAAAAAAGTTGGTCTTTGCAGAGTCAGATAGATGATTTATCATTTTATAAGTTATGCCGTCTAGGCCAGCAGCAGAGGGTTTCTTCTTATTTTTTAGCACCAGTAAAAATTCCTCCATTGTGAAAACGGAGCGATTATTAATAGATTTACAGACATAATTAAATGGATTGTTGTCCGTTACTTGGTCTTTTAGATGAGATAGAAATAGTTTACTGTTGTTTGGAGACCATTTGCCTTTAACATTTGATGATAAACTGTTTTTGCACCCTCGAGCAAATTGAAAAAGATGTTTTGAGCTGGGTTCTTTATTCAAATTTTGTATCTTATTTTTAAAAGTGTGTTTTTTGGCAAATTGTACTGCATTTTTGAAGTTTTTTTTCTTTTCAATTAGATTTCTTGCGTTGGCATCATTGCTACATAAGTCATATGTTTTTTGAGCAGCTAGTTGAAGTCTATATTAGTTGTGTTCCAGAACCTGCAAATTAGTACTAATTAGCACTAATTCTCCTACAACGCGTTCCCGTACTCCAAAAACTAGCAAAACTTGCAGCTCTCTCGAGAAAAAAATGGCGCTGAGTGGTGCACATTTCTGCTTGTTTTAAGTAAGGTTTCACCAGTCCGGTTTAGGCTGTTTACTTTTGGAACTTTGAATTTTGACATTTTATCGCATTTCTGCTAATTTTCCGTTCCCTTATTTTTTGAGCAAACCTAAATGAGAATGACATTTCGAACTGTTCTCTCTTCTGCTAGTTTTACTACTAAAAAAGTACTGGAACACAACTACGGTTTTTCCACATAAGAATCCCACTAAGCTTTTGGTGTTTTATTTCCTTTTAAAACATATGTAGATTTTCTGATTTCGCCTTTTATCGCAGATTGTAAATCTTCAAAGTTTTTGTTTAGTTGTATCTGACCAAGATTTCTCAATAATTGTTTTTTTGCCAAAAAAAAATGTCCTTTGTACTTTGTTTTGTTTATATTCAAAATTACAGGGTAGTGATGGCTTCCACCGATCATGTTTCTAAAAGTATTCCATTGTATTGGCAAGATTGTGTTGGTGAAGAATGATTAATTTTGCTAGTTCTTTTTTTTATTGTTGCACATCTCACTGAGTGTGGGAAATATATGGATACCAGAGTTAAATTGTTTGTTAAATTTGTGGTTTGGCAGATGAGAATATCCAAAGGTGTTTCGAAAGGGATCTTTTTGAACTGTATATTTTTTTGAATAGTAGGGCAACTCCACCATAGTTGTCACTACTTTTTTTGGAGATTATATTATAGTTTTGTATAGATGAAGAGATTTGACTTTCGTCTATATTAAATATTTCACTCATAATACATATGTTTATTTTTTGCTTTTAAGAAAGAATTCTAGAAAATTCTTATTTTTCTTTAGACTTTGCACATTATATTGTAATAAATTCATATTTTTTAATTATAGTTTTTATTGTGAACTTTAAGATTCTGTATTATTTATTTTGAGTGTATTGTTGGTGTTAATAGATGCGTTGTTTAATCCAGATGGGAGCAGTGATTGCTGGAATTTGTTTAATATACTTAAACCTACGGCACTATTTAGTGAGGTAAGGACTTTTGACATTTCTTTGGCAATCTGTTTTAATGTTTTTTCTATTTCAGATACTTTTGAGAAACTTGCTTGTTGGAAAATTGGTTGAGACGGTGTTATTTGAATCGGACTCGTGACGTGATGAATTGGATTTCTAGGTGACGCAACTTTGCTGTATTTTAATTTTGTGACTCTTTTATTTATCTCCTCATAAACGCTTTTTTTTGGAGTTTTATTCATATTAAGAGGGGGAAAGGCAGTGTTAAATTCATCTTCTGAAAGTATTTGGAAACGGTTTTGGGCCTCAGGGTAGTTTTGAACGACTTTTTTCTTGATAGATTGGAAAGGGCCATTATACTTCTTATGTTTCGTTCTGATTTCCATCTTGGGCACTGTTTTGAATCAGTTGCAAAGTGGTCAATACTATTGCAAAGAATACATCGTGGAGAGTTGCATACATCTTTACATGTTGTAGTTGACAGACATTCTTGACATTTTTGCTCTTTTGGGCATTGATTAGGGCATATGATAAATTTACCACAGTTCAAACATTTTTTCGTCGACCTGCAACGAATTGATATGTGTGCTAGACGTCCGCAGTTTAAGCACAGACGAACAGGAGGCACATATAGCTCTGGTGAGATTTTTGTACCGCACATGAATATTTCAGTGGGTACACCATCGTAAATTATACCGATTTTAATAGTTTCGGAATGTTCAATTTTGTTATTTTCAGTTTTTCTTGTAAAGCGGTATACTGAGACAACGTCCATATCATTATTTGCTTCAATTTGTTGCTTAATTGTAATGGCATTAATACTTGTTGGTACGTTTTTAATTATATAAAATCGTTGCACAAATCTTTACTTTTAAATTTGGATTTGTTGCAAAAGAGTTTGCCGAGCTAGCATTGTTGAATGCTAATCTAAAAAGATTGTAGCCAATATTCTTGCAAGCATAATCAGTGATGTTAATCATTTGGAATCTTGCATAAAGATGTAATTCACAATTCTTCCTCCTTGTACTGATTGGTGTTTCTGAGGAGACTAATACATGTTGGATATAAAATGGTTTCCTTGTTTAAAGAGTTGTAATTGTATTGATTTAATATTTCATTATTTGTTGTGAGTTCTGTGTTTGTGTTAGATGCTTTAACAGGTGTTCCATTATGGGTTTTAAATGTTTTTGTTTCATTAGAAATACTTGGAGCTCTTCTTTTATTTTGTTCCCCCGGTGGAGGAGGTGGTATAGGCGGAGGAGGTGCACAATTAATTTAAAATCGGATAAAAATATATATGGGAGCTATATCCAAATCTGAACCGATCTTGATAAGATTTGGCAAAGATATTTCTGAGCTTTATTTGATATATTTCCCTGAATATCGTTGTTACGGAGTGCATATTACTGTTGTGGGTAACAAATATAACAAATCGGATGAAAAATATATATGGCTATAGCTATATCTGAACCTATCTTCACCAAATTTGACATACTAGCTTCTAGACTCAATTCGGTCGTAAGTACCGAATTCCATCCCATTTGGACAAATATTAGACGTTTGGTGCACAATAAAAGGTAAATCGGACGAAGTTATATATGGGAGCTATATCCAAATCTGAACCGATCTCGATAAAATTTAGCAAATGTATTTCTGAGCTGTATTTGATATATTTCCCCAAATATTGTTGTTGCAGAGTGCATATTACGGCGGTGGTGGACAAAAATAACAAATCGGATGAACAATATATATGGGAGCTATAGCTATATCTGAACCGATGTCGATCAAATTTGGCATACCTATTTTCAGGCCTAATTTGGGTGTATATGCAAAATTCCACACAATTCGGGCTGATATTACACGTTTGGTGCACAATAAAAGGCAAATCGGACGAAGATATATATGGGAGCTATATCTAAATTTTGACCGATTATCTCCAATTTCAATAGGGTTTGTCCTTGGGCCAAACAAATGATCTGTGCAAAATTTCATCTAGATCGGGCAATAAATGCGACTTGTACTTTGTTTACAAAAATACATGGACAGACGGACAGACGGACGGACGGACATGCATAAATCGACTCAGAATGTGATTCTATGCAGATCATCAAAAGGAACTATGGGTCTATCTTGTTTCCTTTTGCCTGTTACAAACAAATGCACAAAGACATAATACCCTGACCACCTTGTGGTGTAGGGTATAAAACGGAAAAAACTCGGTATCAATAACTTATGTTTGTGTGTGTTAGCGGTATTTGTTTATTTGTTTTTGTTTTGAAATAAAAAAGCGACCAGCGCGAAAAAAAACAGTCTAGTGTCAACAGATGTTGATGAGCGACTCGCTCCGCATTATTTGTAATTTGCTTTGTCAAATTTATCTGTCTAAGAAAACTGTATCCCATCTCTGATTTGTGTATGTGCAATGGATTTATAACTGAACATTTTGACAATGAGATGTCAAATGAATAATTTTGAAAAAATTGTAAACATATGATTTTATGACTTTACCTTCTTGATTCTACCATGGTTGACAATTAGTATTGATTTAAATAACATAAAAACACAAATAACAAAACAAACATTCCAGACAACCATTTGGAGAAAATACTAAATGTTAGAACAACACTTCTGAGTTCAACCGCATTAAAAATGTCTACATAGTATGGACCATGGTAGAAGAATACAGGTAGAAGCATCAAAGATTAGGAACAGTGAAATGTCAAAATTTTTTTAATGTTTCTTCAAAAATAAGTATATCTATATAAGTTTTCCTAAATGATGTCAAACGGATTTTGTGAAGATATCCATTTTTTTAAATTTTTACAAATTTGAATAATTTTTCATTCAAAAATTTCAATTTTAAAATTGGTTTCACAGTTCATTGTCCCAGCAGCTGTGTCGATGCGACTACCTGTATTCTTCTACTATGGTATGGAGGTCTTACCCAGTCAGCATTTTTTTTGATGTGATTTTTAATCACATTCGAGTCTTTTTTGATCCCATTGCGCGATTAAGAAGCTGGAATATGAGCTCTTTTTCTGATCATAAAAGACTCATTTGTAGGGAGAAAAACGTGACGCGAAAACGTGAAAAACGTGAAGAGTTGTGGGACTCTTCTAAATAAATCACATATGAGTCATCCTCTAGATTAGTTAAGAGTTTTTTTTCAAGTCGTTTTCTAATCATTTATTGTGCTAATACTCTTAATTTGTGAATCTTTTTCGAGTCTTTTTAAAGTAATTTGTGATCATTTATGAGTCTCTAGTGAGTAATTTATTAGTGTTTTAAGTGTCACATATAACTCATTATATATATATATATATATATATATATATATATATATATATATATATATATATATATATATATATATATTAATTTAGTAGTCTTTTTTAAGTCACCTTTGTCTTAAATTCGAGTCATTTATGAGTCTTGTATGAGTTTACGATTCTACGAATTACGTACGTGATTTCTAAATATTCGGATGTACCATGAAAAAAAGAATATGTTCATACATGTTTATAAAAAAGTTTATTTAATTTTGTGTTCATTTTCATGTGTAATAAAAACAACATTCTTCATTTCAGTAAATACCGTTTTTTCTACACTTGGAAAAAAAGAAGTAAATTAAAAAAGGTACTGTAATTGGATCGTTTTTTTTTCGTAACTCGGTCCCTAGCATGAACAAAATGTTTCTGAAGAAATGTGTTCCTATCCTTGTCGTTGCTTGCATTTGAGACGACAAATATTTGAAATAAAATATGTACAAGTCTGTCCATTTTACAAATTCTTTATATACGTGTTAAAAAGACAAACTTTCTTTTGATTACTGTAACTAAATAATACTTTTCTGCACTCGGATTTACACTGGTCCACTTCCAGCTGTATTGGCGGGCTAATTTATCCAAAAAAAATCTTTCGGTTTTTGTAATAAACTCTTTCTGGAAATAGATTATCAAAAAATTATATAATTATTAATAGTTTATAAAGTAGTGAATAAATCAATCAAATACCCAATTTGCTATACTTACAAATTGTTCAAGTTCTGTCTCATTTTGCTGCAATAATTCACGTTCCTGGACATTCTCTTAATTTTTCTCATATTCAGTTTTACTTCTTTTTTGCAAAATTAAATTTTCTGCCATCCTTTTTATTTTAGCCTATTCTATTTTTGTAATTTAACTTTCTGACACTTAAATTTTCTTTATTGTTGTATATGTAAACTCGATATTGACATCACTTTTATCTGCCAGTTGGCAACCCTATTTTCACTAACATTCTCAATGCCGTATTCTTTAGTTATTAGTTCATAGCATGATCCAAGTATAAGGTCCCCCTTCCAGCTCAACTGATTACCACACGATCTGTCAATTAGATTTGAATTCGCTGCAACCAAAACGAACTTCAAAACTATATTAGAAGAATACAGGCAGTCGCATCGCATAGCTGCTGGGACAATGAACTGTCAAACCAATTTTTAAATTGAAAATTTTAAATGAAAATTTATTCAAATTTCCAAAAATTGTTGAAAAGTACATATCAACAACCTACGATTGGTGTCGTATAAGAAAATTTATAAAATGTACTTATTTTTGAGAAAAAAAAATAAAATTTTTTAAATATCTACAATGCAGTAGAGCTTTTTTACCATGCTAGAAGATTATAGGTAGTTGCATCAACGCTTGGGGACATTGATATGTCAATATTGTTAAAATGTTTTTTACATTTTATAAGTTTTCTTATACGCCACCAATCGGAGGTTGTTATGATATGCATTTTTCAACAATTTTTACAAATAATAATTTTTCATTCAATATTTTTAATTTCAAAGTCAGTTTGCGTCGAGCAGCAACTGCGTCGATGCGTCTAACTGTATTTTTCTACCATGTGTTATACATACAAAAAATTGACAGCAAACGTATTCGCCACAAAATTCTTCTGTCAAGGCGAAAATATTTATTTTCGCCTCAAGCGTTAATTTTGACATTTCATGTAGTAAAATAACAGCTGTTTTTAGATTAATTCTCTCGAAGGAAGACCTTATAATTGGGCCATGGTTCATAGTTTACTCTTGTAACTTGTACATCACAATCTTTCTTAATGAAATAAACTGAATTAAATTAAAACTTCAGACTTTAAGTATATAATATTTATAGAAATTAATAAATAAACAAAGAAATAACCGTACACGTTTTTATATTTATTTACTTTTCAATATTATACACTTTTGCTGTAGACGGCTCCAAGCACTTTTTATAAACGAACAATAATTCAACTTGTTGATAGTCACTCCAGAAACAAATGACGCTTACATAACATAACAAACAGCATTTATTCACTTATCTGTGCAAAACATGTTAAAAATACATAATTTTGATCACTTTTCATACAGCTGCAATATCTTTTTAAGGCTAATCATTTTTCAATCTCTAGATGATGGCAATACGATAATAAATAATGGAAAAATAGTCACATTTTGCACATCTCAATAATTGATTGGCGATTCTCCTACATTTTGTTGTTGTATATTAAACTGATCTCTTTTCACTCATTAGAGAGAGTCATTTTTGAGTCGCTTTTCGATCATACAAGTCAGTTAATCATTTTTTGGTCCCCAAAAGGACTCGAAGAAGACTCACCAAAGTGATTTTTTCAAAAACAATCTTCCAAATGCTAGCTGGGTATTACACCTTATTAATTGTTGGTGGTAGTATAAATGTTTAGAAAATGCAATATAATAAACTAATTGTCAAAATGACTTAGTTTCTATAAGAACAATGTTGTTCTTGTAAAATGTTAGTTTCTGTAGACGATGCATACATCTTATAAATACACCTTGATTGTAAACAAAGAAAATAAAAGAAACATATGCAAGTGTGTGGTAGCAAGATTTATGAGACATATGCAAAATAAAAATTTGGCATACACACGTAAACACACGTGGATAATAAAAGTGACAGTACATATATCAGGTCTGATAGCAGCTAAAGAGCGCATTTAGACTATACGATGATTAAGAGCATTATATTGATTTATGTGGCTAATCCGCGTAAATTTAGGAAGATTTACATGAATTTTTTGTCAGAGGCCATAGTACCCATTACGAAATATATTTGAAAAAAAAAAACGGTCTATAATGTCTCTACAAATACCGAATACTGGGAGGTACTGGAGTCTATGCATTTATGTTGCCTCAAAATGTGAATTAATTTAATTTTTTTTCACACACACACGCATATATATATATATATATATATATATATATATATATATATATATATATATATATATATATATATATATATATATATATGTATACAAACTGTGTATATTATTGACAAAAATGAATGCGTGCAAAATTGTAGCCTTGGTTTTGCCTGCTACAACAAACTCACATGGTTATGCTACTTGGTTCATGCAAAACGAAAGCATAACAAGTGGAGAAAGATGAAAATGTTTATAAGTGCGGTTGTAAGATTTAGAAGATTTTCCAACAGAATTCTAGTTTTATTTAATTCTTTGGTTCCTCTTCTATTGAGCGTACCATCTCGTCACTTGGGTAAAAAAAGTTCTTTGTCATACAAGTTATTTTTAAAACAACTTCTGGGGAGAATATCCCAGACAAAAAATCAAGGGAACTGATGAGAATTGGTGGCTCTTTCCAAAACCTAGGTATTCCCTGCCTTACCCCCTGGTAAACATTACCATCGTTCTCCACTAATAAACAAACAGTTTTGTCCCCAAAAAGACTTTAAATCATATTAGAATTAAAAAAAGTGTACATTCGAAAATAGTAAGACAAAATGGAATAAAAATCATGCAATATAAAACATTAGTCCCCATATAACGGTACCTCCCGATATTCGGTATTTCGATGATTTTAACGACATTATTCAACGGAATTGTTTCAGATTTGGTATTTTCAGGTCGAAATGGATACTGCAGCCTAAGACAGAAAATTGTCTGTATCTATAGGTACCTATCGATATTCGGTGATATGTTGATTTTAGCGACACTATTCACCGGAATTGTTTCAAATTTGGTATTTGAAGTTCGTAATGGATACTACAGCCTAAGACAGAAAATTGTCTGTGTAGGTCCACGTCTTCGTACAGACCCATATAACGGTACCTCCCGATTTTCGGTATTTTGATGATTTTAGCGACATTATTCAATGGAAAAAGTGGCCAAGACCCCGAAAATACCTTAAATCATATGATGGTGATACTAAAACGTCATCATTTCTTGCACGGATCGTTTTTTTTTAAAATTATCGACATAAGGCAAAATTAGTACGAAAAATATGGTTAAAATGTAGAATATACTTGAAATCGGGTTATTCCGTTATCGGGGGTTATGATCCATATCATAACCTGCCAAAGCGATTAAAGGTATCTTGAATGTTTAGGAAAAATTTCTGGAAGGAATTTGCTCTACTATTTTGCGTCCTTTATAGTCAGTATTTTACGGATTGCAGTCCCAATGTATTTTGCATTTTGAGTTCTCATTGGACGAATTATTGTCATATGAAAGAAGCAGGTCCACTTTTTGAAGTGAACCCCATAACGCTTTTTCGGTCATTTTTGTTTGTATGAATGTGTTCGCATCTTCCAGCTGAAGGCCCTGGAGTTGAAAGGTAGATGCCAATTTTATACATGAAAGATCGACATTTAACATCGTATTACGCACTCATTTCATTTTTAATATTATTCATTCAGAATTGAAAACAGTAAGAAATGTACACTTCAATATAGAAAAAAGAAAGAATTGAAAAAAATAAAAATAATCTTCAATTGGTTCGCTGATTTTTTTAACGGCAAATTTTTAAAGGTCCTTATGAAGTTTTTTTGTAGAATGTACTATCATTTTGAAATTTGATTCCACTGAAAAATTTTCGATTTTTCCCGATTTTAGAATTTTCATATCTTATTCTCTTCTGAAATGATATTATTCGTATTACAAAATAAATACATATAAGCTATAAATAACAGTTTTATCCGCTATAAGCTATAAATAACTACAAATGTACACGAAAATAGTAAGTCAAAATGGGAAAAAAAATCATGCAAAATAAAACATGACTACTGTACATTTTAAAAGACAAAATAAAATTAAAATGTTCAAAATTTCACATTTTTATGCGATTTTTTTTGGATTTTATCCAATATATATATATATATATATATATATATATATATATATATATATATATATATATTTAGTAGTCTTTTTTAAGTCACCTTTGTCTTAAATTCGAGTCATTTATGAGTCTTGTATGAGTTTACGATTCTACGAATTACGTACGTGATTTCTAAATATTCGGATGTACCATGAAAAAAAGAATATGTTCATACATGTTTATAAAAAAGTTTATTTAATTTTGTGTTCATTTTCATGTCATTTTCTAGACTTGGAAAAAAGAAGTAAATTAAAAAAGGTACTGTAATTGGATCGTTTTTTTTCGTAACTCGGTCCCTAGCATGAACAAAATGTTTCTGAAGAAATGTGTTCCTATCCTTGTCGTTGCTTGCATTTGAGACGACAAATATTTGAAATAAAATATGTACAAGTCTGTCCATTTTACTAATTCTTTATATACGTGTTAAAAAGACAAACTTTCTTTTGATTACTGTAACTAAATAATACTTTTCTGCACTCGGATTTACACTGGTCCACTTCCAGCTGTATTGGCGGGCTAATTTATCCAAAAAAAATCTTTCGGTTTTTGTAATAAACTCTTTCTGGAAATAGATTATCAAAAAATTATATAATTATTAATAGTTTATAAAGTAGTGAATAAATCAATCAAATACCCAATTTGCTATACTTACAAATTGTTCAAGTTCTGTCTCATTTTGCTGCAATAATTCACGTTCCTGGACATTCTCTTAATTTTTCTCATATTCAGTTTTACTTCTTTTTTGCAAAATTAAATTTTCTGCCATCCTTTTTATTTTAGCCTTTTCTATTTTTGTAATTTAACTTTCTGACACTTAAATTTTCTTTATTGTTGTATATGTAAACTCGATATTGACATCACTTTTATCTGCCAGTTGGCAACCCTATTTTCACTAACATTCTCAATGCCGTATTCTTTAGTTATTAGTTCATAGCATGATCCAAGTATAAGGTCCCCCTTCCAGCTCAACTGATTACCACACGATCTGTCAATTAGATTTGAATTCGCTGCAACCAAAACGAACTTCAAAACTATATTAGAAGAATACAGGCAGTCGCATCGCATAGCTGCTGGGACAATGAACTGTCAAACCAATTTTTAAATTGAAAATTTTAAATGAAAATTTATTCAAATTTCCAAAAATTGTTGAAAAGTACATATCAACAACCTACGATTGGTGTCGTATAAGAAAATTTATAAAATGTACTTATTTTTGAGAAAAAAAAAAATAAAATTTTTTAAATATCTACAATGCAGTAGAGCTTTTTTACCATGCTAGAAGATTATAGGTAGTTGCATCAACGCTTGGGGACATTGATATGTCAATATTGTTAAAATGTTTTTTACATTTTATAAGTTTTCTTATACGCCACCAATCGGAGGTTGTTATGATATGCATTTTTCAACAATTTTTACAAATAATAATTTTTCATTCAATATTTTTAATTTCAAAGTCAGTTTGCGTCGAGCAGCAACTGCGTCGATGCGTCTAACTGTATTTTTCTACCATGTGTTATACATACAAAAAATTGACAGCAAACGTATTCGCCACAAAATTCTTCTGTCAAGGCGAAAATATTTATTTTCGCCTCAAGCGTTAATTTTGACATTTCATGTAGTAAAATAACAGCTGTTTTTAGATTAATTCTCTCGAAGGAAGACCTTATAATTGGGCCATGGTTCATAGTTTACTCTTGTAACTTGTACATCACAATCTTTCTTAATGAAATAAACTGAATTAAATTAAAACTTCAGACTTTAAGTATATAATATTTATAGAAATTAATAAATAAACAAAGAAATAACCGTACACTTTTTTATATTTATTTACTTTTCAATATTATACACTTTTGCTGTAGACGGCTCCAAGCACTTTTTATAAACGAACAATAATTCAACTTGTTGATAGTCACTCCAGAAACAAATGACGCTTACATAACATAACAAACAGCATTTATTCACTTATCTGTGCAAAACATGTTAAAAATACATAATTTTGATCACTTTTCATACAGCTGCAATATCTTTTTAAGGCTAATCATTTTTCAATCTCTAGATGATGGCAATACGATAATAAATAATGGAAAAATAGTCACATTTTGCACATCTCAATAATTGATTGGCGATTCCCCTACATTTTGTTGTTGTATATTAAACTGATCTCTTTTCACTCATTAGAGAGAGTCATTTTTGAGTCGCTTTTCGATCATACAAGTCAGTTAATCATTTTTTGGTCCCCAAAAGGACTCGAAGAAGACTCACCAAAGTGATTTTTTCAAAAACAATCTTCCAAATGCTAGCTGGGTATTACACCTTATTAATTGTTGGTGGTAGTATAAATGTTTAGAAAATGCAATATAATAAACTAATTGTCAAAATGACTTAGTTTCTATAAGAACAATGTTGTTCTTGTAAAATGTTAGTTTCTGTAGACGATGCATACATCTTATAAATACACCTTGATTGTAAACAAAGAAAATAAAAGAAACATATGCAAGTGTGTGGTAGCAAGATTTATGAGACATATGCAAAATAAAAATTTGGCATACACACGTAAACACACATGGATAATAAAAGTGACAGTACATATATCAGGTCTGATAGCAGCTAAAGAGCGCATTTAGACTATACGATGATTAAGAGCATTATATTGATTTATGTGGCTAATCCGCGTAAATTTAGGAAGATTTACATGAATTTTTTGTCAGAGGCCATAGTACCCATTACGAACTTTAAATATATTTGAAAAAAAAAACGGTCTATAATGTCTCTACAAATACCGAATACTGGGAGGTACTGGAGTCTATGCATTTATGTTGCCTCAAAATGTGAATTAATTTAATTTTTTTTCACACACACACACGCATATATATATATATATATATATATATATATATATATATATATATATATATATATATATATATATATATATATATATATATATATATATATATATATATATATATATATATATATATATATATATATATGTATACAAACTGTGTATATTATTGACAAAAATGAATGCGTGCAAAATTGTAGCCTTGGTTTTGCCTGCTACAACAAACTCACATGGTTATGCTACTTGGTTCATGCAAAACGAAAGCATAACAAGTGGAGAAAGATGAAAATGTTTATAAGTGCGGTTGTAAGATTTAGAAGATTTTCCAACAGAATTCTAGTTTTATTTAATTCTTTGGTTCCTCTTCTATTGAGCGTACGATCTCGTCACTTGGGTAAAAAAAGTTCTTTGTCATACAAGTTATTTTTAAAACAACTTCTGGGGAGAATATCCCAGACAAAAAATCAAGGGAACTGATGAGAATTGGTGGCTCTTTCCAAAACCTAGGTATTCCCTGCCTTACCCCCTGGTAAACATTACCATCGTTCTCCACTAATAAACAAACAGTTTTGTCCGTTTTGTCCCCAAAAAGACTTTAAATCATATTAGAATTAAAAAAAGTGTACATTCGAAAATAGTAAGACAAAATGGAATAAAAATCATGCAATATAAAACATTAGTCCCCATATAACGGTACCTCCCGATATTCGGTATTTCGATGATTTTAACGACATTATTCAACGGAATTGTTTTAGATTTGGTATTTTCAGTTCGAAATGGATACTGCAGCCTAAGACAGAAAATTGTCTGTATCTATAGGTACCTATCGATATTCGGTAATATGTTGATTTTAGCGACACTATTCACCGGAATTGTTTCAAATTTGGTATTTGAAGTTCGTAATGGATACTACAGCCTAAGACAGAAAATTGTCTGTGTAGGTCCACGTCTTCGTACAGACCCATATAACGGTACCTCCCGATTTTCGGTATTTTGATGATTTTAGCGACATTATTCAATGGAAAAAGTGGCCAAGACCCCGAAAGTACCTTAAATCATATGATGGTGATACTAAAACGTCATCATTTCTTGCACGGATCGTTTTTTTTTTTAAATTATCGACATAAGGCAAAATTAGTACGAAAAATATGGTTAAAATGTAGAATATACTTGAAATCGGGTTATTCCGTTATCGGGGGTTATGATCCATATCATAACCTGCCAAAGCGATTAAAGGTATCTTGAATGTTTAGGAAAAATTTCTGGAAGGAATTTGCTCTACTATTTTGCGTCCTTTATAGTCAGTATTTTACGGATTGCAGTCCCAATGTATTTTACATTTTGAGTTCTCATTGGACGAATTATTGTCATATGAAAGAAGCAGGTCCACTTTTTGAAGTGAACCCCATAACGCTTTTTCGGTCATTTTTGTTTGTATGAATGTGTTCGCATCTTCCAGCTGAAGGCCCTGGAGTTGAAAGGTAGATGCCAATTTTATACATGAAAGATCGACATTTAACATCGTATTACGCACTCATTTCATTTTTAATATTATTCATTCAGAATTGAAAACAGTAAGAAATGTACACTTCAATATAGAAAAAAGAAAGAATTGAAAAAAATAAAAATAATCTTCAACTGGTTCGCTGATTTTTTAACGGCAAATTTTTAAAGGTCCTTATGAAGTTTTCTTTGTAGAATGTACTATCATTTTGAAATTTGATTCCACTGAAAAATTTTCGATTTTTCCCGATTTTAGAATTTTCATATCTTATTCTCTTCTGAAATGATATTATTCGTATTACAAAATAAATACATATAAGCTATAAATAACAGTTTTATCCGCTATAAGCTATAAATAACTACAAATGTACACGAAAATAGTAAGTCAAAATGGGAAAAAAAGTCATGCAAAATAAAACATGACTACTGTACATTTTATCCAATATATATATATATATATATATATATATATATATATATATATATATATATATATATATATATATATATATATATATATATATATATATATATATATATATATATATATATATATATATATATATTAATTTAGTAGTCTTTTTTAAGTCACCTTTGTCTTAAATTCGAGTCATTTATGAGTCTTGTATGAGTTTACGATTCTACGAATTACGTACGTGATTTCTAAATATTCGGATGTACCATGAAAAAAAGAATATGTTCATACATGTTTATAAAAAAGTTTATTTAATTTTGTGTTCATTTTCATGTGTAATAGAAACAACATTCTTCATTTCAGTAAATACCGTTTTTTCTAGACTTGGAAAAAAGAAGTAAAGTAAAAAAGGTACTGTAATTGGATCGTTTTTTTTTCGTAACTCGGTCCCTAGCATGAACAAAATGTTTCTGAAGAAATGTGTTCCTATCCTTGTCGTTGCTTGCATTTGAGACGACAAATATTTGAAATAAAATAAGTACAAGTCTGTCCATTTTACTAATTCTTTTTATACGTGTTAAAAAGACAAACTTTCTTTTGATTACTGTAACTAAATAATACTTTTCTGCACTCGGATTTACACTGGTCCACTTCCAGCTGTATTGGCGGGCTAATTTATCCAAAAAAAATCTTTCGGTTTTTGTAATAAACTCTTTCTGGAAATAGATTATCAAAAAATTATATAATTATTAATAGTTTATAAAGTAGTGAATAAATCAATCAAATACCCAATTTGCTATACTTACAAATTGTTCAAGTTCTGTCTCATTTTGCTGCAATAATTCACGTTCCTGGACATTCTCTTAATTTTTCTCATATTCAGTTTTAATTCTTTTTTGCAAAATTAAATTTTCTGCCATCCTTTTTATTTTAGCCTTTTCTATTTTTGTAATTTAACTTTCTGACACTTAAATTTTCTTTATTGTTGTATATGTAAACTCGATATTGACATCACTTTTATCTGCCAGTTGGCAACCCTATTTTCACTAACATTCTCAATGCCGTATTCTTTAGTTATTAGTTCATAGCATGATCCAAGTATAAGGTCCCCCTTCCAGCTCAACTGATTACCACACGATCTGTCAATTAGATTTGAATTCGCTGCAACCAAAACGAACTTAAAAACTATATTAGAAGAATACAGGCAGTCGCATCGCATAGCTGCTGGGACAATGAACTGTCAAACCAATTTTTAAATTGAAAATTTTAAATGAAAATTTATTCAAATTTCCAAAAATTGTTGAAAAGTACATATCAACAACCTACGATTGGTGTCGTATAAGAAAATTTATAAAATGCACTTATTTTTGAGAAAAAAAATAAAATTTTTTAAATATCTACAATGCAGTAGAGCTTTTATACCATGCTAGAAGAATATAGGTAGTTGCATCAACGCTTGGGGACATTGATATGTCAATATTGTTAAAATGTTTTTTACATTTTATAAGTTTTCTTATACGCCACCAATCGGAGGTTGTTATGATATGCATTTTTCAACAATTTTTACAAATAATAATTTTTCATTCAATATTTTTAATTTCAAAGTCAGTTTGCGTCGAGCAGCAACTGCGTCGATGCGTCTAACTGTATTTTTCTACCATGTGTTATACATACAAAAAATTGACAGCAAACGTATTCGCCACAAAATTCTTCTGTCAAGGCAAAAATATTTATTTTCGCCTCAAGCGTTAATTTTGACATTTCATGTAGTAAAATAACAGCTGTTTTTAGATTAATTCTCTCGAAGGAAGACCTTATAATTGGGCCATGGTTCATAGTTTACTCTTGTAACTTGTACATCACAATCTTTCTTAATGAAATAAACTAAATTAAATTAAAACTTCAGACTTTGAGTATATAATATTTATAGAAATTAATAAATAAACAAAGAAATAACCGTACACTTTTTTATATTTATTTACTTTTCAATATTATACACTTTTGCTGTAGACGGCTCCATGCACTTTTTATAAACGAACAATAATTCAACTTGTTGATAGTCACTCCAGAAACAAATGACGCTTGCATAACATAACAAACAGCATTTATGCACTTATCTGTGCAAAACATGTTAAAAATACATAATTTTGATCACTTTTCATACAGCTGCAATATCTTTTTAAGGCTAATCATTTTTCAATCTCTAGATGATGGCAATACGATAATAAATAATGGAAAAATAGTCACATTTTGCACATCTCAATAATTGATTGGTGATTCCCCTACATTTTGTTGTTGTATATTAAACTGATCTCTTTTCACTCATTAGAGAGAGTCATTTTTGAGTCGCTTTTCGATCATACAAGTCAGTTAATCATTTTTTGGTCCCCAAAAGGACTCGAAGAAGACTCACCAAAGTGATTTTTTCAAAAACAATCTTCCAAATGCTAGCTGGGTATTACACCTTATTAATTGTTGGTGGTAGTATAAATGTTTAGAAAATGCAATATAATAAACTAATTGTCAAAATGACTTAGTTTCTATAAGAACAATGTTGTTCTTGTAAAATGTTAGTTTCTGTAGACGATGCATACATCTTATAAATACACCTTGATTGTAAACAAAGAAAATAAAAGAAACATATGCAAGTGTGTGGTAGCAAGATTTATGAGACATATGCAAAATAAAAATTTGGCATACACACGTAAACACACATGGATAATAAAAGTGACAGTACATATATCAGGTCTGATAGCAGCTAAAGAGCGCATTTAGACTATACGATGATTAAGAGCATTATATTGATTTATGTGGCTAATCCGCGTAAATTTAGGAAGATTTACATGAATTTTTTGTCAGAGGCCATAGTACCCATTACGAACTTTAAATATATTTGAAAAAAAAAACGGTCTATAATGTCTCTACAAATACCGAATACTGGGAGGTACTGGAGTCTATGCATTTATGTTGCCTCAAAATGTGAATTAATTTAATTTTTTTTCACACACACACACGCATATATATATATATATATATATATATATATATATATATATATATATATATATATATATATATATATATATATATATATATATATATATATATATATATATATATATATATATATATATATATATATATATATATATATATATATATATATATATATATATATATGTATACAAACTGTGTATATTATTGACAAAAATGAATGCGTGCAAAATTGTAGCCTTGGTTTTGCCTGCTACAACAAACTCACATGGTTATGCTACTTGGTTCATGCAAAACGAAAGCATAACAAGTGGAGAAAGATGAAAATGTTTATAAGTGCGGTTGTAAGATTTAGAAGATTTTCCAACAGAATTCTAGTTTTATTTAATTCTTTGGTTCCTCTTCTATTGAGCGTACGATCTCGTCACTTGGGTAAAAAAAGTTCTTTGTCATACAAGTTATTTTTAAAACAACTTCTGGGGAGAATATCCCAGACAAAAAATCAAGGGAACTGATGAGAATTGGTGGCTCTTTCCAAAACCTAGGTATTCCCTGCCTTACCCCCTGGTAAACATTACCATCGTTCTCCACTAATAAACAAACAGTTTTGTCCGTTTTGTCCCCAAAAAGACTTTAAATCATATTAGAATTAAAAAAAGTGTACATTCGAAAATAGTAAGACAAAATGGAATAAAAATCATGCAATATAAAACATTAGTCCCCATATAACGGTACCTCCCGATATTCGGTATTTCGATGATTTTAACGACATTATTCAACGGAATTGTTTTAGATTTGGTATTTTCAGTTCGAAATGGATACTGCAGCCTAAGACAGAAAATTGTCTGTATCTATAGGTACCTATCGATATTCGGTAATATGTTGATTTTAGCGACACTATTCACCGGAATTGTTTCAAATTTGGTATTTGAAGTTCGTAATGGATACTACAGCCTAAGACAGAAAATTGTCTGTGTAGGTCCACGTCTTCGTACAGACCCATATAACGGTACCTCCCGATTTTCGGTATTTTGATGATTTTAGCGACATTATTCAATGGAAAAAGTGGCCAAGACCCCGAAAGTACCTTAAATCATATGATGGTGATACTAAAACGTCATCATTTCTTGCACGGATCGTTTTTTTTTTTTAAATTATCGACATAAGGCAAAATTAGTACGAAAAATATGGTTAAAATGTAGAATATACTTGAAATCGGGTTATTCCGTTATCGGGGGTTATGATCCATATCATAACCTGCCAAAGCGATTAAAGGTATCTTGAATGTTTAGGAAAAATTTCTGGAAGGAATTTGCTCTACTATTTTGCGTCCTTTATAGTCAGTATTTTACGGATTGCAGTCCCAATGTATTTTACATTTTGAGTTCTCATTGGACGAATTATTGTCATATGAAAGAAGCAGGTCCACTTTTTGAAGTGAACCCCATAACGCTTTTTCGGTCATTTTTGTTTGTATGAATGTGTTCGCATCTTCCAGCTGAAGGCCCTGGAGTTGAAAGGTAGATGCCAATTTTATACATGAAAGATCGACATTTAACATCGTATTACGCACTCATTTCATTTTTAATATTATTCATTCAGAATTGAAAACAGTAAGAAATGTACACTTCAATATAGAAAAAAGAAAGAATTGAAAAAAATAAAAATAATCTTCAACTGGTTCGCTGATTTTTTAACGGCAAATTTTTAAAGGTCCTTATGAAGTTTTCTTTGTAGAATGTACTATCATTTTGAAATTTGATTCCACTGAAAAATTTTCGATTTTTCCCGATTTTAGAATTTTCATATCTTATTCTCTTCTGAAATGATATTATTCGTATTACAAAATAAATACATATAAGCTATAAATAACAGTTTTATCCGCTATAAGCTATAAATAACTACAAATGTACACGAAAATAGTAAGTCAAAATGGGAAAAAAAGTCATGCAAAATAAAACATGACTACTGTACATTTTATCCAATATATATATATATATATATATATATATATATATATATATATATATATATATATATTAATTTAGTAGTCTTTTTTAAGTCACCTTTGTCTTAAATTCGAGTCATTTATGAGTCTTGTATGAGTTTACGATTCTACGAATTACGTACGTGATTTCTAAATATTCGGATGTACCATGAAAAAAAGAATATGTTCATACATGTTTATAAAAAAGTTTATTTAATTTTGTGTTCATTTTCATGTGTAATAAAAACAACATTCTTCATTTCAGTAAATACCGTTTTTTCTAGACTTGGAAAAAAGAAGTAAAGTAAAAAAGGTACTGTAATTGGATCGTTTTTTTTCGTAACTCGGTCCCTAGCATGAACAAAATGTTTCTGAAGAAATGTGTTCCTATCCTTGTCGTTGCTTGCATTTGAGACGACAAATATTTGAAATAAAATAAGTACAAGTCTGTCCATTTTACTAATTCTTTTTATACGTGTTAAAAAGACAAACTTTCTTTTGATTACTGTAACTAAATAATACTTTTCTGCACTCGGATTTACACTGGTCCACTTCCAGCTGTATTGGCGGGCTAATTTATCCAAAAAAAATCTTTCGGTTTTTGTAATAAACTCTTTCTGGAAATAGATTATCAAAAAATTATATAATTATTAATAGTTTATAAAGTAGTGAATAAATCAATCAAATACCCAATTTGCTATACTTACAAATTGTTCAAGTTCTGTCTCATTTTGCTGCAATAATTCACGTTCCTGGACATTCTCTTAATTTTTCTCATATTCAGTTTTAATTCTTTTTTGCAAAATTAAATTTTCTGCCATCCTTTTTATTTTAGCCTTTTCTATTTTTGTAATTTAACTTTCTGACACTTAAATTTTCTTTATTGTTGTATATGTAAACTCGATATTGACATCACTTTTATCTGCCAGTTGGCAACCCTATTTTCACTAACATTCTCAATGCCGTATTCTTTAGTTATTAGTTCATAGCATGATCCAAGTATAAGGTCCCCCTTCCAGCTCAACTGATTACCACACGATCTGTCAATTAGATTTGAATTCGCTGCAACCAAAACGAACTTAAAAACTATATTAGAAGAATACAGGCAGTCGCATCGCATAGCTGCTGGGACAATGAACTGTCAAACCAATTTTTAAATTGAAAATTTTAAATGAAAATTTATTCAAATTTCCAAAAATTGTTGAAAAGTACATATCAACAACCTACGATTGGTGTCGTATAAGAAAATTTATAAAATGCACTTATTTTTGAGAAAAAAAATAAAATTTTTTAAATATCTACAATGCAGTAGAGCTTTTATACCATGCTAGAAGAATATAGGTAGTTGCATCAACACTTGGGGACATTGATATGTCAATATTGTTAAAATGTTTTTTACATTTTATAAGTTTTCTTATACGCCACCAATCGGAGGTTGTTATGATATGCATTTTTCAACAATTTTTACAAATAATAATTTTTCATTCAATATTTTTAATTTCAAAGTCAGTTTGCGTCGAGCAGCAACTGCGTCGATGCGTCTAACTGTATTTTTCTACCATGTGTTATACATACAAAAAATTGACAGCAAACGTATTCGCCACAAAATTCTTCTGTCAAGGCAAAAATATTTATTTTCGCCTCAAGCGTTAATTTTGACATTTCATGTAGTAAAATAACAGCTGTTTTTAGATTAATTCTCTCGAAGGAAGACCTTATAATTGGGCCATGGTTCATAGTTTACTCTTGTAACTTGTACATCACAATCTTTCTTAATGAAATAAACTGAATTAAATTAAAACTTCAGACTTTAAGTATATAATATTTATAGAAATTAATAAATAAACAAAGAAATAACCGTACACTTTTTTATATTTATTTACTTTTCAATATTATACACTTTTGCTGTAGACGGCTCCAAGCACTTTTTATAAACGAACAATAATTCAACTTGTTGATAGTCACTCCAGAAACAAATGACGCTTACATAACATAACAAACAGCATTTATTCACTTATCTGTGCAAAACATGTTAAAAATACATAATTTTGATCACTTTTCATACAGCTGCAATATCTTTTTAAGGCTAATCATTTTTCAATCTCTAGATGATGGCAATACGATAATAAATAATGGAAAAATAGTCACATTTTGCACATCTCAATAATTGATTGGCGATTCCCCTACATTTTGTTGTTGTATATTAAACTGATCTCTTTTCACTCATTAGAGAGAGTCATTTTTGAGTCGCTTTTCGATCATACAAGTCAGTTAATCATTTTTTGGTCCCCAAAAGGACTCGAAGAAGACTCACCAAAGTGATTTTTTCAAAAACAATCTTCCAAATGCTAGCTGGGTATTACACCTTATTAATTGTTGGTGGTAGTATAAATGTTTAGAAAATGCAATATAATAAACTAATTGTCAAAATGACTTAGTTTCTATAAGAACAATGTTGTTCTTGTAAAATGTTAGTTTCTGTAGACGATGCATACATCTTATAAATACACCTTGATTGTAAACAAAGAAAATAAAAGAAACATATGCAAGTGTGTGGTAGCAAGATTTATGAGACATATGCAAAATAAAAATTTGGCATACACACGTAAACACACATGGATAATAAAAGTGACAGTACATATATCAGGTCTGATAGCAGCTAAAGAGCGCATTTAGACTATACGATGATTAAGAGCATTATATTGATTTATGTGGCTAATCCGCGTAAATTTAGGAAGATTTACATGAATTTTTTGTCAGAGGCCATAGTACCCATTACGAACTTTAAATATATTTGAAAAAAAAAACGGTCTATAATGTCTCTACAAATACCGAATACTGGGAGGTACTGGAGTCTATGCATTTATGTTGCCTCAAAATGTGAATTAATTTAATTTTTTTTCACACACACACACGCATATATATATATATATATATATATATATATATATATATATATATATATATATATATATATATATATATATATATGTATACAAACTGTGTATATTATTGACAAAAATGAATGCGTG